TAGTCTTTGTGTGCAAGAAAAACATCTACAATAATATGCGGGGATAACCCTGTGGAGCAAGCAAAAAAGGTGAGGTTGGGGGCAATAAGAAAGGAAGCATGAGCAGCAACTTGCATGGTTTGATTACATGCTTCTAACAGCGGGGTGGGGGGGAAGCATACGTGGTCCCAAAAGGCAGAGTCCAGATCCCACGACCTGCCTGCCCTAAGGTCATGCCGCGTGGCTGTGGCTGCGTGCCCCAGTGAAGCAGATTGGTGTTGTTGGTGTAGATGGGTGAGCCGAAGGCTGCAATTCCTTCGTAGAATGGAGGGATGGGCGAATAGCAAATCCAGCAGCACTCATAAGTGGTGTTGGAGAGTGCCTGGGCCGAGGCGTTGACCATCTGAAGGATGAGGTCCGCGGTGGAGACTGGACCGGCGGGCAGGGTGGGTTGATAAACAGTGGTGGCAGCAGCGGGAGCTGGAGAATGGAGATTAGGAAGAGGGCGAGGGGCGGCAGCCTTGGGTAGGAATGAGCCACCACCAGAGGGGTATAAAAAAGGATTGGGGCCAACAGCAATAGGGCGAAAGGAAGGGATTTCTTTCAAAAGTCTAATGGAAAAAGTGAGGCCTGGGTCTGTGCCAGAAACATATAGGCGTAGACCCCAGTAAGCGCTGCGGGAACCTTCCCAGAGGAACCTTTTTCCTGCAGCTGTAAACTGGATATGGAGGAGGTTGCACCAACTGTGTGAACAAAGGGGATTAAGTGGTGTTGGGCCAGAATTAAGCTGTCTGGCAGGGGGATTAAATCGCTTTACAGTTATGAGGTCCCAGGAAGAGGAGGGATTCCAATAGGTGTCACCTGTGTTTTCGCAGCCCCATTGTGCGCAATAAAAACTTTCTGATTGCCCGCACTTTCCTGTTAGGGATCGATCTCTATGTGGGCCGGGGCAAACATAAATGGGTGCCATGGTTAGATAAGTATGTGCAGCCGCATTGTAACACCCAGGAATGGTACTATAGCGATTATTTGTGTTCAAGGGTTTGGGTTGGGGCATGAAGTTATTAGGTGTGCCCCAAGTTTTTCCAGCCACGCCCATGGCAAGTGTGCACAGGTCGACAAAAAGATTAGGCCATGGGATTAAACCGGCAAGTTGTGAGGTAGCATTGGCTATGTCCCCAGCCTCATTGGTAATTATCCAAGTGTAGTTGTATATTGGCAGGGATGCAAGGAGGGAAACTAAAAATCAAAAGGAGAAATGGAAGAAGTAGTAGACGATGCAGTGTCATCTTCACTATAAATGGATATTTCCTGTCCTGAGTCGCTTGGTCCCAAATACCCAGCAGCAACTTCCCAAATTACTACACAGAGTCTTATATTAATTATAAATGCTTGGCCAATAGCTCAGGCTTACTACTACCTAGCTTTTACATTTTAAGTTAACCCATATTTCTTATTTAAGCTCTGCCATGTGGTGACACCTTTATTAGCATGGCACTTTTATCTCCTGTTCACCCTGTGTCTCACTGGCATCCTTCTCCTCAGAATTTTCTGTCTCAGACTCTCTCTCCCAATCTCTTCTTGTCCAGCTATTGGCTAATCAGCTTTTTTTTTTTTAACAATGAGAGTAATGCATATTTTTTGGGGGCCCATGCAAATTTCTAGAAATATGTTCTGCCCAGTCATGAATTCTAGGAGCTCAGAACTTCTATTGTCTTTTAGTTGCTGACTGATTACCTCCAGATGGTCTGGCCTCTGTGGGGAATGGCTCCTAGTTTGGATAACAAAAGACCTGGGCCTGGGCGAGTCCACACCCACCCTGAAGGCCAGTGAGATGTTGTGAAATGGATGGCCTCTAACAGACTACAAGAGTTCTCTACCTTTTGTATTATGTCTGATGGACTACAGAAGCCTCACCTTGTGTTTACCATCCATGGTTTTTCAAGGTATATGCTTACAGTGGCCCCAAGAGTGCTCAGCACATTCCCTCCTGGCTTCCTGTTGATTTCTATCCTGGTAAGACTTAGACCAACTGTAACAGCAGCCCTAAAGACTACCTTGGTAAAAGATGATCCACAAATATATAGGGATATAGGACAACTACAGACTTTCGTTGAAATGCTTCTCAAACAAGTTGAAATCTTTGGCAGAGTTAGTTCTACTGAGTTGGAAAGGGAGAGATTTATTATTCATGTGCTGGGGAGATCTTTGTGTATCCTTAGGGAAAGTTAGCTGTTTCTATGCATCAGTCCTGATTAAAAATACTTTACAAAGTGATCAAAAAAAAAATCTAAGTAAACATCTGATGAGGGAAGTCCTTCTGTGTATACGTTTCTCTTATTGGTTAATGAATAAAACATTGATTGGACAGGCAGGAAGTGACATAGCTGGGGAGAATCAGAATATAAGCAGGGACAAACAGGAAATCGCTCTCTCCTACTCTCCTCTCCTCTCCTCCCCTCCCCTCCTTTCTCTTCTCTTCTCTTCTCTTCTCTTCTCTGTGGACACACTGATCAGTAATCATGTAGGACACCAGAGGAATAACAGGTCCCTGGACCATTCTCCGGTAAGAGAAGACCATGTGGAAATACTTAGATTAGTAGTTATGGGTTAATAACTAAGTCAGAGCTAGCTAATAAGAAACCATAGCCAATGGCCAACAGATTTATAATTAATATGTCTTGTGTGTTCATTTGGGGTTGATGTGGCTATGGGACCAGGCTGGCCAGAAGAGTTCACGTTACAAACATCAAAAGGAAAGAGAGATCAACAGTTGCTGGTTCCATTGCTGATTTGATTGAAACCCATGGCTGACCTTATATACGGGTCTCAAAGGTCTCCTCGTTCTTCTCTTCCTAGGACAGTTGGACTTTGTTTAATCAACTGGTTATTAAACTTCATTAAATAACCAATAGCCTTTATCAAATGAACACTCATAAGGGCCCAGTATAACTCTGTGCCACTGGAAGATGAGTCAATACTTTGACTCTGCTAAGACCAGTGGAGAATAAACTAACCAAGGGAATCCCATTTTGCTTTAGCTGACACCATTTTGTGTGCCTCATACAACCACCCTCCAGGCTGGCTAACTACATCCTTGGAACATTCTAGTCTAGCCACACTTGTAGTTTTAGGAGGTCCTTTGTTTTAATCAACTAGAGCATTTGAAATCTTTTAACAGAAATTATGAAACTTCTGACAGCTGGCCTGTCCCTGGTATATTGTAACTGTGAATCGTGCTTTATACAGATCACTGGAATGTCCTCAAATAGGTTACACGCTCACAGCCTAAGGTAGCACGAGCTGAGTTCACTGAATATCCCAGCCTGCACACTTACCACAGCCCCTCTGGAGACAGATATGCCACCTCTATCTTGTCCAGGGGCTGGGACCACAACTGCAAATCGAAGAATGGAGACTTTCAAGAGATATCCTGTTGTTCAAAATTTTTATTAACAAAACCCGTTTGTTTAGGGGATGGGTATAGGCAAGGGTGAGTAAACTCCACAGTCTCACCCCAGCACTGAATATGGAGAGGGACAGACAGTGACAAAGGGAAATGGAAGCCAAAACGTAGATGGGCACAGGGATAAAACTAAGGAGCAGTGGAATAAACAGATGAATGGAGGAACAGAAAGCTGGCGATGCAGGGCCACTCCCCTAGCTGGAATGTAGGGGTGAGGAGCCTCTGGGCTGGTGAAGCTCAGCGATCAGCACTAGATCGAAGGTCGGTAGTGAGTGGGTCATGTTGGATCGTTTGGTGCAGCATCAGGGCAAGTAATCCTGCTCTGTTGGTCATGGCTGTGCGAACATTACGTTCCTGCTCAAACAGCTCGTCCAGCTTATACCACTGCCAAGGAAGTGGAAAGGAGCATGAGAATCAGCCCTGGAGCTCAGGCTGACTGAGGTCACACCCAATATTAAAACCTACCACCCGGACGCGCTCCAAGTCCACTTCTGCACGACGAAGCTTCTCCCAGCAATAATGGCGATTGCACTGGCGCTTAGGCAGGCGGCAGAAGTCACCTGTGAGCTCAAAGACATCACGTACAAGTGGACACCCACAGACCTCATCAGCAGGCACCTGCAGGGACACCAAGGGTAGAAGTGATGAGAGGAGGAATGGAGAATGAAGGAGAGTGAAACGGAGGCGAAAGGGGAGGAACTGGAGATGATTAGCAGGAAAGGGAGGAAATGGAAGTTGACAGGAGAAAGAGAAGGAAAGGAGGGAGAAAGGAACAAACATGTGCAACACGAGGCAGGGCAGGGCAGGATACAGGTAACTGAAGGAAAACCTTACTTTGGGGTCCCGTGAGTGCTCAGGACATAGCACCTGGAGCCGCTTACAATATGTTTTGCTCTGGGGATTGTAGACATCACAGAAGAGTCGGGTAGCGCTGGCAGAGATTAACAGGAGAGTAGCCTTGAGTAGCTAGCTCCTTGACCACTGCAAAGGCCCACACTCATCTCCAGCCCCAATTTTTCACACACAATCCCATTTCCAACCCCCAGCCTTAACCACCCTTCTCTTAACACGATAGAGCACCCTTACTCACCCTTCAATGCGTGTGGGGTACATGGACCCAAAGGATGTCTGGCTCTCATACTGGAAGGATGAGCACAAATATAAGGACTTTGGGTGCCCTCTCAAGATACCACCCATGCGACAAATCTGTGGGCCTTGTGGGCCACTGATGTCCCCACACCATCCACTCCCTTAGAATGGCCCCTGACCTTGGCATAGCAACGCTCCATGTGGCGCAAGGCAACACGTGGGTTGATGGGATGCCCACAGGAGACACAGAAGATCTGCAGATCCGTGTCGTCACTGTCATTCTCATTGTTCTGTATGGGGGAAAGAACGATGAGGCCAGGCAGGACAAGGTCCGGGGTCCTGCCCTGCTATGGCTGTATGTCTCTTTACCTCCTCATCCTCACGTACAGCCTGCTGCTTAGCTCGAAGAATGATGGCCTCAAGCTCATGAAATCTGCGTTCCATTTCTTGAAGACGGGTGCGGGCACTCTGCTGCTCACGGCGTATGCGTTCAAGGAGCTTCTTGCCATGTTCTTCGGCAATGCAGGGGCTTTGCTGCCACTGCTGGATGCGCTGTGGGAGGATCTCATAGATTCGGCTGCAGGGAGACAGCGAGGTACGGGCAGAGAAGCACCAAAAGCAGTAAGTGGGGTGATCAAGGGAGAGTGAGTGGATAGACAATGAAAAGGATGAGAGGCTGAGCGGGAGGGGCTGGCAGATGGAGACTGAATGGTGGGTTCATGTGGCCAGATGGGGGTCTGATTGCACAGTGCACAGACAACTAACTGGAGGGAAAGCTCTACTTCCTGACTCAGTGCCCAGGGAAACTCACTTGGCTGCTAGCTTCATGCCACAGTCATCTGAACAATACTTGGAACCAGGCTGGGCAGCACGCACACAGCCAGGCCCCAGGCACTGCGGTAGTGATGCCGGGTCCTTGGCATCAGCCCTCTCTGGGTGTTTCCATTTGTCTTTATGCTTCTGCTTCTGTCGATGCCGCTTATATCTCTCTTCCTTCTAAGGGGCAAGACGGGTCATGTCAAGGTGCACCAGAGGTCAGCCGTGGGTCTCATCTGCCTCTCCACTCCAGCTTTTTGGCTCTTCCCATTCAGCCTCTGACTTCTCCATCTCCTCCCTGCCCCTCCTCTCCCTTTAACACCCATGTCCCCCTCTCCATCACCTTCTTCTCAGACTTCTTCTCTCGGCGCTTCACGTGCTTTACTTTCACGGCCCGTTTCCTCAGCGCGGGATCCAGGAACGGGGACTCCTCCGCATCACTCATCCAGGGCTGCAAACAGGGCATGCACTGACCACCTGAGCAGCTCATGACCACACCACGTATCTACTGTTTCCCAAAGCAGCCTGTGCGCCCTCTGCCTCCTCTTTCCCGGGCTGTGACTTCACCATCTCCCGTTACTCCCCCACCACAGGACGCTCCTGCTACTCACGAGGCCATGATCATCAAAGGCTCCAGCACAGAAGTCCTGGTACAGGTCAGGGTCCAATGCCAGGTCCTCATCTGAGAGTGGCTCCGGTGTTGCTGTAGCCTCTGGCAGCTCCTTAACCACGGATGACAACACTGTCCCCTCATCTTCCCGGATACGTCCTAGCTTCTGGGATGGCTGTGGCTGCTGTTGAGTGGGTGGTGGCCGGCGGGGCCTTGGCAGGGCCTCTGAGGGCGTCACCGGCGAGAGCTGCGGGGCAGAATCTCAGGACTGGCCCTGACCGCCCTGCCCGCATGCCCTGCCCCGCCCTGGGGGGCTGGACTCACCGAGGAAGGGAAGTACTTGTACGATTCCTGTGCGCAGGAGGAAGGCCTAGGTCAGCCCCAGGAAAATGAAGGGTCACCCTGTCCTATCCCCAACTACGCATCCTTGCCTGGTCTCACCAAATGTCGTTTTATCCCTCCCCTCACCTCAGAGATATGCTCAGTCCTACCTGTTGTGCCCTGGCATGCCTGACCACCTAAAATAAATGTCCCTGCCAGCTAGTTGTCATGTGGCATTCACCTGAACATACTACCCCCTCCCACACATCCAGACTTAAAGAGGCCCCACCCCACCTGCACTTTCCCATTCGTAGCCCGACTCGGGCCTCCCAGCCATGCTCCCACCCGAACCTGCCAGCTCTGTCCATGCTCACCCGTGCCCGCAGCTGACACTGGCGAAGCCGACACTTCTGCCGGATCTTGTTGGGACCTCCGAACTTCTTCATGTCACGGCAGAAGTCACAGTGGCCACAGTCCTCAGTACGCCGGCATGCCTCACACTCACCGCACATTCGGGCTGACCGTTTGATTTGTTGCTGTTGCTGTTGCTGTTGCTGCTGCTGGTGCTGGTGATGCTAGGAGTCAGTGTACAGGGTAGAGATCAGAAGCCTAAATGGTGCCCAAAGCAGAATTTCACCCACCCCAACCACCGCAGTCACTCACCTGGCTAGGTGTAGCCACTAAGGGCTGTGGAGAAGATTTGTGTGGCGAAGCTGAGCCCCGAGCAAGCATGGTCCCAACCCCTGTCCCTGACCCTGCCCGGCGCTGCAGGTCTGGGTCTGAGGCAGGCCTCTTGCGCCCTCCTCCCTCATCCCGGGGCTCACTGCCGTCCCGCTCACTGCCGTCCCGCTCCCGGGACTTTTTGTGTCGGTATCGAATCTCCAGTTTCGGGTCCTTCTCTGTGAGGCAAAGAGTAAGACCAAAGTGGGTTTGCAGAAGAGATATGAATGATCCCAGAACCTCTTTCTCTGTGCCTACCCCAGCAACTTCTCTGGCTCATGCTATAGGAGAGAGTTCCCCCTTCCTTTAGGATGCTCCATTATTGTTCACATTGAAGCTGGCATTCCCCCCAATACATCAGAGACCAACAATCGTCCACAGAGGACACCTTGATTACCCATGATCCCTCCCATTACGGCTCCTCTTCATGTCTTGGAGCCCACCTGCCTTCCCAGCCCATGCACAGGCCTCACCTCGGCACTCCAGACAGTACCATTCCCGGATGGCCTTGGCCATCTTCTCAGTGATCCGGATGCAATCTCCATGGAACCACTCATTGCAGTTGTCACATCCACTGCATATAAAGGAGCAAGGGGTAGAGATGTGAGGGGTGCGCTTCCAGTGTTGCCCCACCCCGCCAGGCGTCAGCCCACCCGCCTCGCCCTAGCTCACATCATGAAGCAGTTGATGTCCGGTTTGCGGCAGATGCAGTAGATGGGAGCGTTCTCCCCATTCTCAGACTTGCTGTCCTCCCCAGCATCTGGAGGCTCCAGGTCGGAACCGTCTCCTTCCTGTGAGACCCACCCCCAATGATGGCTCCTTAATTCCTGCTTACAGCTCCACCACGGCTCAACACAAGTTCCTACTATGTCTTTGTGGTGCACACCTTTAATCCCAGCATTCGGGAAGCAGAGGCAGGTGGATCTCTGTGGTTGGCCTACAGAGCAAGTGCCAGAATAGGCTCCAAAGCTACACAGAGAAACCCTATCTCGAAACAACAACAACAACAAACAAAGACTTCTCCCTCTCATAGCTTCCGATCAGCCTCTCCATCATAGTTCACCCAGACCCTCATCCTTCAACCCTGGGCCTCATTACTTTGCTTACACTGCTCTCCACCACACATCTCCCTGACAAGCCTCCTGTCACTCTAACTGCTCATCACAAACACCATATCGTCGCCTTCAAGAGTTCTACCCACATAACCTCTTAATTCATTCTGCTGACGTCCCATCTCGGCTCCCCACAAGTCACTTTAACTTAGCTCACAGACCCCCACCCCCGATGACGGGTCTCCAGAGCCTGTGTAAATACTCATGGCCAAGTCCGTATCTCTCTGACCAAGGATCCTCAGTTGAAGGCTTCCCACAAAACTGCCATCTGAAGTCTCTACTGAAGTCCCACTGTGGACCCCCCCCCCTACAGCGGCTCATCAAAGAGCTCACAGATGGTTCACCTCAAACTCCATCACACACCTTTTCCCATCAGTCCCCAGACTCGGCACCCAGCTCACCAGAAGCCCCGTGCGCCCTGCCAACAGGCAGCAGTTGCCAACCCCACCGACCTCTGCCTCGGAACCGCGTTCCAACCGGGTACTCACCATCTCTCCGCTCACAGCGCACCCGCTCTGGACCCCCGGCAGCACCCAGCGAACCTGAACGAGCCCCTGGGCAGCGTCCGCGGCGGTGGCGAAAGCGCCCACAACCACTTCCGCTCCTGGTGCCGCCTCCGCGGCACCGCACTCTTAGTCCCCTCGCCCTGGACGACCGCTCAGCAGCAGACAAATAGGTCGCCCACCTACAGCCGCGAATGTTGCCCAGGCGCCGCCATCTTAACCATCGAGTCCGTAAGATAGCGAACACCGTACGTTCCGGGAGGTATGGCCGCGCCTATCTGCAGATCCTCCGAGCGCGCCGCCATCTTATCCGTCAAAGTCCGTACGGTGGCCGCCAGAGGGCAATATGGCCGCGCTTGCTTCGCGACTGCGACGCAGACGTCATCAGTTGTTTACGCCTCATCGGGCGGACACCATACGTTCCTAGGCAACGAATGGCAGCTTCCGGTTCACCGCTACCAAAGGGCGTGGCCATCTCCATAGTCGACTCCAAACACTTAGTGCTGCTGCCACTGACGGGGTAATCCTGCTACTGCCTAGATCATGTCTCATTCATTCCTCCATCCAATCATTTTACCCTTCAACGTTTATCAATGGGATGCCAGGACTCCGCAGAAGAAATAAATGTCATGTTGTAGCTGCCCAGCTGTTTACTTTTTACGCGCCTCGCCTTCATGGTTTTCAGTTAGATTTGGCTTCATTTTCCTCTTATTTGTTTTATTTTTTAATTTTTGTTTTTCGAGACAGGATTTCTCTATGGCTTTGGAGACTGTCCTGCAACTAGCTCTTGTAGACCAGGCTAGTCTCAAACTCAGAGATCCGCCTGCCTCTGCCTCTCGAGTGCTGGGATTAAAGGCGTGCGCCACCACCGTCCAGCTTTTTATTTTATTTTTGAGACAGGGTTTCTCTAGCCCTGGGAGTCCGTAACTAGCTGTGTAGACCAGGCTCTCCTCGAACTCACAGATAACCATCCGCCTCTGCCTCTCAAGTGCTAGGATTAAAGTAGGGCACCTTCACATCTGGATACATGTCTTAAACTTAGTGGCACATGCTGGTGATCCCAGCGGGAGCAGGAGGAGGGATGGGGTTAGAAAATGCAAATTCATGTCCTACCTGGACTACAATGTGAGTTCAAGGCTAATTTGGGTAATTTTGAGACTTTGTCTTAAAAAGAAAATAAGAAAGACATGGAGCCCGGTGTTGGTGGTGCACACCTTTAATCCCAGCACTCAGGATGCAGAGGTAGGCGGATCTCTGTTCATGGCCAGCCTGGTCTACATACAGAGTGAGTTCCAGGACAGGCTTCAAAGCAATACAGAGAAACCCTGTCTCGAAAAACAAACAAACAAAAAAGAAAGAAGGAAAGAAAGAAGAAAGACACGGAAGGAAGGGAAGGAATGGAAGAGAAGAAACGACGAAAGGAGAGAGAAAAGTAAGAAAAAGAAATAGGTGTATACTCCTTAAGAAGCCAGTACTATTGAAAATTTAATTATAAAACCCTAGAAGTGAAAGTCGGGTACCAGGTATAATAATATATTAGTAACCCCCAAGTAAAAGTGTGCAGTATTGTCCTAGTGTTCTAGTATTGCAAAAAGTGTCCTAGTAATGCAAAAACAAGTAATTAAAAGAATTATTAGGGCCAGTGAAATGGCTCAGCCACTAAAGGCCCTTGCTGTCCAGCCTGTCAACATGAGTTTGATTTCCAGAATTCATACTGACAGCCACAGCTGGCTTTTCTTCCACACTAAAGCTATTGCTGGCTGGTGTGTTCACACATACACAGACACACTTGGGGGGGCAAATAAGGAGTTCTAGAGATAGCTCAGTGGATAAGAGCACTCTTGCCGAGGGCATGAGTTCAGTTCTCAGCACCCACTTCAGGCAGCTCACAACGCTCCATAACTCTAGCTTCAGGGGAGCCCTATTCCCTTTTCCTGGCCTCTAAGGACACTGCACACACACATGAACATGCCTATACAAACAGTTTAAAAGATAAATGAAAAGAGAATTCTTTAAATTAACTTCAAATTTTACTTTAGTTCTGGGAGCTGCACAATAACTTAACAGTATACCACTCTTTATCCATTTATTTGTTGATGGGGGATGTTCTTCTGTATACGTGTTTCTCTTATTCGTTGATGAATAAAGCACTGTTTGGCCAGTAGCCAGGCAGGAAGTATAGGCAGGGGCTACCAGATGAGGAGAATTCTGAGGAGAGAGGACAGAGAGGAGTGGCCAGAGAAAGACGCCTGGTAGCAGCTGAAGGAGGCACATGCTGGAGCATTATGGATAAGCTGCAGCCTTGTGGCAATACACAGTCTAATAGAAATGGATTAACAATTAGGAGAGAGCTAGCCTCAGTGGATAAGAGCACTCTTGCCATCTGGTTGTTGGGCAAACTCAGATCCTCTGGAGCTCTACTCTTATCATCTAGTTAGTGTTAATTTTCAACCAGCATTGAAACTATTAGAGTAATAAATAATCTATAGAATGCCTCCCTGTTCATGTCATCTTTGTTGAAGAAGGACCAGTTAAGGATACAGTCTGTTCTTGATGATCAGTCAATTTGGAACAACAAATTTGTTGTGCCCTCTCTCTCTCTCTCTCTCTCTCTCTCTCTCTCTCTCTCTCTCTCTCTCTCTCTCTCTCTCTCTCTGTGTGTGTGTGTATGTATGCGTGTGTGTATAAAACTAGATCCTTCACGGCCATACGGCCATTTCTCAGTACTTAATCTGGTCACCTACAATTGTTGTTTCCTGGGCTGCTCTCCATAATGTGTGTAGGCAGATTTTTCTGTTCTTCCTACCAGCTCCCAAATTACTACACAGGGACTCTTATTAATTATGAAAGCTCAGCTGATAGCTTAGGCTTGTTGCTAACTAACTCTTACAACTGAAGTTAACCCATTTTTTACTAATCTATTTGCTGTTCCAAGGCTTGTTTACCTCATCTATATACTGCCGACCTTGCTTGCTCTGCATCTCATGGCATCTCTGCTCTTCTTTCCAGCATCCTCTCTGCCTGGAAATCCTTCCTAACTATTGGCTGGTCAGCTTTTTATTGAACCAATCACAGTGACAAATCTTTACACAATGTAATCAAATATCTCACAACAACTGTGGGCTTAGATAAACTCTTTTCTGCACACAGATGTATGAAACTCTGAGTTTTAGGATGGCAGAAAATTTTCAAATGATATTCTAAATAAAACTGCAACAAATGTTAACAGGTTCGTACTTATTCCTGACTTGATAATCCTTTTAGAGGCTGCAAAATCAAAAGGAAAAATTATTTTAGAAAAAAGGAAAACCTGAAGAAACTGTAGATTTACTTGCTTTTGGTTATTTGCTTGAACTACCAATTTTACAGATCACATAACTAAACAAATATAGACGGATAGAAGGATAGATAAATGTAGTTTTACTTTCTTATTGGCACCACCAGCCTATAAATAATAACATGGAAACTTCTTACTAATTATGAAAGTTTGGCCATCAGCTTAGGCTTGTCCCACTAGCTCTTATAACTTAAATTAACCTGTTTTTATTAATCCATGTTTCCCATGTGGCTTGGTTTCCTCTACTCTGTACTTTATGTCCAACCCCTTCAGTGCTTCTCTGGCATCTCTTGTGCACCTAGATCCCTTCTTCTCTTCCTCTCTTTCTTTGGAAATCCCATCCATCCTCTCCTGTCGAGAATTGGCCATTTGGATCTTTATTACCCCAATCACAGCAATATATCTTCACACGGTGCACACGCACCCCACAACAGATAAATGGATGGATGGATAGATGAATTAATTTTACTTTTATTTAATTTATGCAAATTTAAACTTTGGGTTCACAGTGTGATCAAATATCCCCAACAATGCCTTACAGCTGGATCTTACGGAGTCATTTTCTCAGTTGAGGTTTTCTCCTTTCAGATGGCTCTGCCTTTTTGTCAAGTTGATATAAAACTTTCCAGGACATCTTGTGTCTCAGGGATCTTGTTTATCAGATAACTGATGTTTCCCCATTCCTTCCTAAAGGGCCATCTGCCACAGGCAAAAGGGTATCTACTGGTTTGATTGGGGCAGGCAGAGACTCCCTCCCAGGGACCTGACAGGAAAAATCTTCCGAGAGGAGGGATCTGCCCTTAGTCTTGTTCGGTGATTTCACTAAACTCCCTTAAGGGTGCTGGAGGTGACTCTATCACCCTCATCTGATCCTCCTTCCCATTGCCTGGGACAAAGGTTTAATGACAGACAAGTGGTTGTCTTGCAAGGATGGCAAGAACTTGGACATTTGCTGACTGAGGAGCTAGTATCTTCCCCCTGCAATGCTTTCAGCAGGGAAGATTAGACTTTTAGAATATGAAGTAGAACATTTTCTTATGTCTTTTCATGTATACTTACTTGGTTTTGACTGGCTCTTCTCACTCTCTCCCCATCCCCACTTCAACTCTTCCCTCCTCAGTATCTGCATATCATAAATGTTTGCAATTTTAAATATGGTGTTTGTATCCCCCCCCCTTTTTTTTTGTTTTTCGAGACAAGGTTTCTCTGTATTGCTTTGGAGCCTGTCCTAGAACTCGTTCTGTAGACCAGACTGGCCTCGAACTCACAGAGATCTGCCTGCCTCTGCCTCCCGAGTGCTGTGATTAAAGACATGCGCCACCAACGCCCGGCTGTATTTCCCTTTATAGAGTAACCACTCCCCATAAAGGCAGAATCTTAAAGCTCACCAACCCCCGGGCTTTTTGGAATCATACGGGAACATTTTAAAAACATGTCTGCCTGAGCTCAGGATTTCCACAGTCACTGGTGCTTGTAAAAGCTCTCCCTGATGAACTGTGCAGCAGATTCTAAGAACTACTGGGCTGCTCGTTTTATATCAAGCTCTTGGCAGTTTGCGGGGCTGTGGTCACTGCTGAAAGATCAAGGAATTCACCAGCCTGGCTCAAAAAGCAACCTTTCCATGCTGTAAGCAAGCCGATCGTGCCCTAGGCCCCGCCTCAAGCCCTGCCTCTAGGCCCCGCCCCAGGTCACACCTCCAGCCCCCGCCCAGACGCTGCGGGGTAGAGTGGAAACTCGTTGCTGAGTCTGCGCAGTTGGGAAGCGCGCTTCTGCGCTTGCGCGGCGCCAAGTCCGGCCGGCAGTTTGAATTTCTGTGCCGGCTGAATGTTGCAGGGTTAGGCGTTTTGGGTAGTAGTCTGGTGCGCTCACACCCCAGGGTCTTCACTCCCAGAACTCGGGAGGTCCCTGGCCCGGAAGCCGCTCAAGGCATCGTTTAGCAGGTGAGTGGACCGGGAGGCGCGGAGGGTCGGCTCCCGCCTTCTCCGACTTCGGTTTCCAGCCAGGCGCAGCTATCCTGGATCTGCGCAAAATAGTAAACGTTATGAGATTTCTTTTGTGATTCTGTACTTGGCAACTGCATTGCACGGTTTTCCAGCGTGAACTTGACGATGTCGGGTCGTAATGTCAAAAGATTGGACACGCCTGATCAGATCGGCATCTTTTCACTCAGCCTTGCAAGGACTTTTCGCTGTGGATATTTCGCTCCACCTCACGCCCAAACTCTGAGGTCTGGACTCACACATCCAAGCCCAGAGGAATATGGTAGCTCAGGTTTAAGGTTTCTGGATATCCAGCAGGAGCCTCCAAGACATGTTACCATTGACACTGAATTTTGTAGAATTGAAAAAAAAAAGCCCTCTAATTGTGTTCTTTCTTTGCAAAGCTATGTTGTTTACTGTTTTTAGATTTTGAAAGTGAACAGAAATTTAGTTTTTAATAACTTTCCCTTAAAAAGTGTTTCTATATGTTTTATTCAGATGCTTGAAGGATGGCCTCAGATCTAGAACAGTTATGCTCTTATGTTAATGAGAAGATTGACAATATTAAGAAAATTCTGTCGATAAGAAATATTGGTAAGCAACATTGACTCACTGCTTTGGGGTACATGCAGCGTGTCTTGATTATTCTGCTGTGAATGTTTCTTAGTAAGGTAACTTTAGATTTCCAATAGTGAATTTTCAAAACACTCCATTGTCACTGTTTCAAATAATGCAGAGGCAATGTTAAATAATGGGTGAATATTTACTTACTTTTTCTTAGACATTATGCCAATATTAAGGTTTGAAGGGGGATGTAGCATCCATGGTACTAGAGCTAATTGGATCTACTACCCCAAAAGAGTTGAGGAAAAAACAAAATCAAAACCAACCAACCATTTCCCCCCCCCCCCACAGGGTTTCTCTGTATTGTTTTGGAGCCTGTCCTGAAACTTGCTCTGTAGACCAGGCTGGGCTTGAACTCTCAGAGATCCACCTGCCTCTGTGTCCTGAGTGCTGGGATTAAAGGCATGTGCCACCAACACTCGGCCCAACCAACCAAATTTAAAACTTCAAATGAAAAGATTTACTAAGGGTGAAGTAGCCCATAACCAGTTATCATCCTATTTAGAGGAAGCTTATCCCTGTGTATCGGGGTAAAATAGATAGTTGGAAATGAAATTATTGTTAAGGCATAAGAGTCAAAGAAACAGATGATCCTTGTTAAGTCTAAGATGTTTTAAAAATCAAGTCTCCTGGCTTTGTCCAGGAGAGTTCAAAGCTTTATTAGTAGATAGAATTCAGTCTTCTGGAAAGATTGTGGAGATTTTGCTGTAGTTGGTGATGTGGTTAGTTTAAGGTTTTAATTTTCTTTGACATATGAGATTCTGTTGAATATCTCTCCTAGAAATTTGGTATTTTCATTCTTCATTCGAGAACTCCTATTAAAGGAACTTGTTTATCTTGTGACTCATGGTTCACACTCTATAGAAAGTTATCTGTGGACTCAAGCCTCTCATTTTTTTTTTCTTTTTTCTTTTTGGTTTGTTGAGATAGGGTTTCTCTGTATTGTTTTGGGGGCTGTCCTAGAACTTGCTTTGTAGACCAGGCTGGCCTCAAACTCACAGAGACCCGCCTGTCTCTATCTCCCAAGTGCTGGGATTAAAGATGTGGGTCACCAACGCCTGGCCAAGCCTTTCATTTTATACTCAGGGAGACTAAGACTCCAAAGAGGCTTGCCCAAATCATCCTGAGTTTCTGAACACTCAGGTGGGATGATGGCTCTCAGTCTCAATTCCTACATAGCAAGCCTCTCCACCCATATGCCACTTTTACTGAAAAAAACCCAATCAGGTGTAGCAGCATACACCTGTGATCCCAACAATTGGGAGGCAAAGGCAGGCACAGGTGAATCTATGAGTTCAAGACCAGCTTGGTCTACTTTAATAAGTTCCAGGACAGCCTGAACTATGTAGGGAAACATTGCTTAAAACAAACAAAAAGAAAAGAAGGATTTGATTTTTTTTTTTTTTTTGATTTTTCGAGACAGGGTTTCTCTGTATTGTTTTGGAGACTGTCCTGGAACTAACTCTGTAGACCAGGCTGGCCTCGAACTCACTGAGATCCGCCTGCCTCTGCCTCCCAAGTGCTGGGATTAAAGGTGTGCACCACCAACGCCTAGGGAATTTGATTTTTAATGGTTAGCTTTCTTTAGGTTATGTTTACAAGGGCTTGATTATGGCTGGCTGAACATAATTTGAGGGTCTATAAAGTTGGATTCAAGCAACCCCACCTAAGTCTGGTTGTAGTAGTGTGAGCTACTAGACCGATGTCATTTTGTAGTTAAGAAAAAATACTTTGTCTCCACAGCCTATTTAATAAAGTCTAATAGTTTCTCTCACTGTGGCTGCTATAACTTATCAGATACCTAACATCAAGTATGAACTTGCTAAGTTGATTGTATAGTAATAGATCAGTATAGATGACTAAATTTTTTTTTCAGATAGTAGTTTTCAGGAAAGATACCATATCCAGCTGATTAACTCACCATTCTGAAATTCTTAGTACACACATCAGTACCTTTTTAACTTATCATAGCTAGGTGGCAAATCCCAGCACTTGGGGGTGAGGGGTGGGGCAAAGGCAGGTAGATGTCTGAGCTCAAGACCAGCCTGGTTCACATAGTGAATTCCAGGACTACACATTGAAGCCCTGTCTCAAAAAACAAAACAAACAAAAAACAAAAACAAAACTGCTGAAATTAACTTGGCTCCTTTTAGTTGCTATGAATCAAGTGTTAGATAGTGTCCACATTGCAAAGCTAGAGTAACACACTGATCCTCACAGAGATGTAGTGGTTGGCATTCAGTGTTTCGCTAATTCCCAGATGCAATGCTGTCTTCCTTGTCCTTTCATGTAGTAATCTTTGCAGCCACCCCCGTGACAGGCATTGCTCTCTTGGACTTCATTCCAGGAGCTATTTCCATTTGCTTCTACACAACCTATAGATGTGGCCAAAATGTTGCACTTATTTGTATTTCGTTGTTTGGTTGCTTGAGGCACACATAAAATTCTTTTTGTGAGATAGGGTCTCTCTATATAGTCCAGGCTGGCCTCGAATTCACAGATATCCTCCTGTCTCTGCCTCCTGAGTGCTGGGATTAAAGGAGTGCCCAATCACACCTGGCTGGTGTTAAAACTTTGAAAGTTACTCTTAAAACAACATTTTGTCTTATTTACTTGGGGTGTGTGTTGCAGGAGTTGCTTTTCTGCTTCCACTGTGATCAAAACGAGGTTGTTAGGTTGGCAGTGGATTCCTTTACCTGCTGATCCAGCTTGCTTGTTCTTAGTCACTTCTGTGTGTTGGGAAAAAGAACTTGAGGTTTTCCAACCCTTTCAAATCTGAGTCTAGAGAGGTGCTGGATGGGACAAGAAGTCTAAGCACCCTGTTTATAAAAGCATCTTGTCTTTGTTTCTTCCAGATACCCAGTCTGTATTTTTGTTGTTTCTATCCCTGATTGAAGGTTTTTGAGTAGTGGGGATGGTGTAAATATGAATTCCAAACTTATACTACGAATTCCCAGAGAGCTGCCCTGTCTTTAGTCTCGCTCCTCTATAGAACACATTTGAAGGGCAGTCTAAACATGAGTTTATCTCCCTGGCACCTTAAGTTTTTCAGGTTACATTTTAATAATATGTCCTCTGAAGCAGGGTAACAGCCTCACTTGAAATTTTTCATTTCTATCATCCTGTGGTTTGAGGCCTCAAAGTCATTGGCTCTTGTCTGCAGTAAAGTCAAGGGTAGTCGGTCACTGAGACCAGATACTTCTCTCTAGCATTCTTTCACACGTACTGACAGCATTGTCGACTCTGCTCATGCACCCCAATTGGTGTCTGTGAGTCCTACTTCATGTCAGCCCAGGAAGAATGACCTCTTCGTCATGAATGCTGTATGCAGGTGTTTATTATTTCCAGATGTTTTGTTATGTTGAAAGGATTTGCCAGAAATAAAACCAGCAGGAAACACTTTGTACTTGCCTCTCTCCTCCTCCTCCTCCTCCTCCTCCTCCTCTTCCTCTTCCTCTTCCTCCTCTTTGAAGTAGAAGTTAGGTCAGGTCTGGTGGCAAATACCTGTAAGCCCTGCACTGAAGAAGCTGAGGCAGGAGGATTTAAGTTAGGGGCCAGCCTGGGCTACTGCATAGCAAGAAGTTTTCATATAACAACAAAACAAGAACTTGCCCTTTCCAATTCAATTTTTTTTTTAAGGCATAGCTGTCGGTTCCAAGTTTATGTGGGATTTGGATGTTTGGGTTTTTATATACTTTGTTTTCCATTTTTTCTTTCTTTATAACAGGCCAAGCACCTGCCTTGAAGACCACCTTAAGTAAAATAGAAGATGAAATCATTACAGTAAATGAACTTCTAAATAATTTTGAGTTGGAAATTCAGTATCAAGAACAAACCAACAAGTCACTTAAGGTAATGCTTCCCTAACTGGAAAACAGAAGACAGTAAACACAGACTCCCTAATCACCAGGTCCTTTTTAAGGATCCTTTGTTTGCAATGTTTGTGGCTTTTTAAATTAGACTAAAGAGTAACATTTGTGTTCTCAGTGTAACCAAGTTCTGAATGCCAACTGTTTCTGTATGCTACCGGCCAATAGCATAGAACTTTTACTAGAAGGAAAGTTTTTGAAGAGTTTTTTGTAGGTAGGTTTAATGTAAACAAGCGATGCACTGAGAGTGCTCAGTGGAGAACACCTGCCTAGAGTGAGGTACAGTTCCTTATCTGGAGTGAGGTACAGGTCCTCACCTGGAGTGAGGTACAGGTCAGTGCTCAGTGGAGAACACCTGCCTAGAGTGAGGTACAGTTCCTTATCTGGAGTGAGGTACAGGTCCTCACCTGGAGTGAGGTACAGGTCAGTGCTCAGTGGAGAACACCTGCCTAGAGTGAGGTACAGTTCCTTATCTGGAGTGAGGTACAGGTCCTCACCTGGAGTGAGGTACAGGTCCTCACCTGGAGTGAGGTACAGGTCCTCACCTGGAGTGAGGTACAGGTCCTCACCTGGAGTGAGGTACAGGTCCTCACCTGGAGTGAGGTACAGGTCCTTACCTTGGTCGCCCTGGGTACTCTCTGCCACCCTGAGAAAGCCATTTCACCTCTTGAGGTCTCGGATCCTCATTTAAATAGGAGACTGGGAAGACTGTTTCTTACCTGTTTTCTGTCCGTTCGTTTCTATCAAAGATGAGAACAACTCATCGGAGAAAAGCTTGAACTTCACTCATGCACGTTTTGTTGTAAATAAGACTCCTAGTGAAGTTCACCTGATAAGAGCTTGTGCACTTTGTAACGAGGGAAACAGTCGCTGCCCTAGCTATGTCATGTTGGAGCCTTTGGTAGGTTGAGGAAGGTAGCCTTCAAGGTCCCCGTCAGCCTGCAGTCTTCATGGTCTGGGAAGACTTTTCAGCTTCAGGCATGGGCAAACTTAGGCTTAGTCTAATCCCCAGTCAAAAGTAAAACGTGACCTTCAGAATAATTTAGTTCTTGAAAAGAAAGATGTCACAGGTTCAAAATGGAAAACAGTATTGGTCTATCAGTTTCCACCTGTCCAGAAACATGCAGGGCTACAGGAGAGTGTTCACTTGAGGCATGAAGTCTGTTCACATTATGATTGACAGCCAGGTATCAAGAACCCAAAAGTATAGAATATTTTCTGAATTAAAATTTACATGAGTTCATTACCCCAAGTTCTAGTAGAAGTTAAATAAAATACACACACACACACACACACATATACACACACACTCACTCACTCACACTAACACGGAAGAGTATGAATACCTCTCATCAGGGTTGACTTTAGTCGCTCTGGTGCTGTTTCACAGGCAGCACTGGGGTACATGTGCTAACTCAATAAGAGCAATTTGCTAGATTGAAGAGCATCAATATTTCATCTGTTTCTTAGATGCTTCCCAAGGTTAAAGTGTTTGGGAAAGGCTTAAACTTCAACCCAATCTCATGATTTTACTGTGATTGATTATAGTACTTGTTCTGTGAAAAAAATCCAATAAGGAAAAACATCATCATCGAAACTCTAGAAGTTACAGGTCTCCCCTCCCCTTATTTTCCTTTGGGGATCAAACCCAGGGCTTTGTACTTGGTAGGCAAGTGCACTGAGCTACACTGCAGCCCTTAAGTCCTCCGTTATTATTTGGTTGTTCATTTGCATTGCTGCATTTGGTGCTTTCCCGCTGCATTCTGTGTTCTCAGCACTTACAAGGACTGTGAGTGTGGCTTACAGTCTGACCTGACTGTTTCATACATCTCATGTAGAGGAGGAACCCTTGCTCACAAGCATTTTTGAAACTTAGGAGCTCTGTGAATCTCTTGAAGACGATTTGAAAGATGTGGAGCATCTCAAAGAACACATTCCGTCCTATTTGCCACAAGTGACAGTGACCCAGAGTTTGTAAGTACATTTCCTGATTCTTGCTGTCTGGACTTGTTTGTGGAAACAAATACCTTGGTCGTTTTCTGTCATGTACTTGAATTTTTTGTCAGGTTTTATTCAGTTTCTTGTCTCTTGATATAGAAACCATACTTCCCTCTGTCTCCTCCAGTTTCCTCATTCTGCATCTCTGAGGAAAATGACCCCTTTCCCCAGCCAAGGCTCCCCAGCACCCCCCACCCACACCCACACACATTACCACCACCACCACTCCCTCAGTCCTTAGACTTTCAGGTTTTGACCAGAACACTCTTGGTGTGAGAATAGGGTGTTTAGTAGCATTACTGTCTCCTTCCACTCTACACCAGTCTCATGCCTCCTTTGGACATCACCAAGATTTTGACCTCTGTGTCCACTGTCCCTGGGGAACCAGGGAAACCTTTGCCTTTAGGGTAAGCTAAGCTCTGAAAAACAATTAGAGAAGCCATCAAAGGCTTTCAGGCCTGGCTTTTAGCTACCACTGCCACTGCTCTTGTGAAGAACGATGGCTTGAAGGTTACAGGGGACTAGTTTGTCCTCGGCTCTGTGTCTGTGGTCCTCGCTCACCCACTCTGTTTCTAGGTGTGTCCATGCTGCCCAAGCTTCCTGACTGTCTTCTGCATTCCTCGATGTGGTTGCCTCCTGTCTCTCCTCCCCCATAAACGATAGCTCTTGTGTGCTCGCCTGACACCACTTGTCAGTGCTCTGAAATGTTCAGTTCTTGTCTTGACCTGCTGGAAATCCGATGAGGAACTGTTTTCTCTCAAACTTTGCAGGTCCAAGACTGAACTCAGTGACTCTCTTGTTACTTGTATATATATCCAACCTCTTGCTTTTTTTGCCTAGGCAAGTTTTTTCTGTCTTCAGGGTTTCTTGTTCTCCTTTAGCTACGAGCTATCCAATATGTCTCTCAGGTTTTGTGTATTCTTCCTTGTTCCCATTGCCTGGCTCTGAATGAGATCTTGTATCTTTTTTTTTTTTTTGTCTTTATAATATAAGAGTTTCTGTATTGTGCCCGCCTCCAGCTTTCCTCCAATCCTGATACCAAAATTGTGATTCTAAAAGGTACTTTCAATAGGTACAAACATTCCATGGCCAACTTAATTTTTGAAGTGTATCATATATATAGAATAGTGATTATATGTAAAACTGGAAGAATAGTCACTATCCATGTATGTAGGAGCTGGATTTAGAACAGTGTATTACCAGTACCATAAAACATAATGCAGACCCTCCCTCTGCTGTAGAGGTAGTGGCCACTCTGGCCTTGAGAATGCTTAGGATTTCCCTACAAGAAGAGAAGACTGCCAGGGAAAGTTGTGAGTGAATATTAGGGAAAAGAGACCTCGTGGTTATTAGTCAGGAATATAGAGTGGACTGAACATTGGATATCCAGAGGAATGTGACCGGCAGAACAACACTGCTGTAGCCCGGCCTCCTCTGTCCAGCTCATGTCAAAGCGTTGCTGTAGCCCAGCCTTTGCTATCCAACTTAGGTCAAACCAGTTTGGAATAGGTGGAAGATATTTTGGGTGGATACAGTGAACTGGGCATGCGGGGGTCACCGAGTTGAAGATGTTTTGAGTGGATACAGTGAACTAGGCAAGTGGGAGTCACCAGTTGAAAATGTTTTCACTGGGTACAGTGAGCTGGGCATGCGGGAGTCACCAGCACATTCTTAGCACATGATCAGGAAGAGAACATGAGAAAAGAATCGGGTACACAGAAGAGTGGGTTCATTTGGTGATGGAGTCACATTAGTATTCATAAAAGGATGGCGCCATCACTGTCTGTTTATTGTAATTACTACCATAATTCTATTACACAGCCAAGACAGTATTTCAGATTTTGACAGCCCATGACAACCAGTTGTGTTTGCCGCGCTGTGGGTCTGGTCCTCAGCTGTTCTCTTTCTGGGGAATTCCTTTGCTTGTTTCTGTGTTAGATCTACAGATTTCTGATCTGGTATCTTTCTTGGAATATTTCTGCCATTGTAGCAGATGTCTCTTCTGCCTTGGCATTTAACCTAAAAGCCACAATCTGTTTCCAGACTCCATTTGCCAGAATGAGTCTGCAATAGGCAGTGACTAATAGTAACCACTAATACACTAGGATAAATGGAAGATGGATGCTGTTTCAAGGTTCATAACTAGGGAAATGAAATAGAGAAGCTATTGGAGTTTAGTTCAGCTTTACATATGTCAACTTTGAGAAGCAAATGGGAATGAATACTGGTGAAGGTGTGTAGTATATATTCTGTGCATGACATATTTTGGGTGTATAAATGAAAATAGTTATACTTTAAAGATTTGAGAACTTACTTTTCAAAGTTCCTCTAACAATTTAGATATTCATAACCAATGGGTAGGGCTACAAAGAAGATTTGGCTATAAAATTATTAAACCAGATATGTCACACATTTGCAGATTTTTCCCCCAGCTTGAAAGAAATGTATGGTGTGATGCTTAATTCTAACAGTTACCTCTGTGTGTGTATGTGTGTGTGTGTGTTCATCTTTATAGGGTTAACAATTCCGATCTGGATCCTAAAGAGCCAGTCAAAGCTGAGGAACCTGTCCTGACAAAGAAGCCTCCCAGAGAGCAGAGAATTATAAAGGAAATGCAGTTTATAACCACTGATGAATTCAGTGGTGTTCCTGCGTAAGTATTGAGCATAAATTCTAATGTGCAACACTACTAATCAACATACATAATTGTTTAAGTCATGCATGAATTGCAGCATTCGATATTGAAGCAAAAAGGCCAGAAAGTGTTTGTTTGTGACAGTTCTCACTATGTAGCTCTGGCTGGTCTAGAACTCATTATACAGATCAGGCTGGCTTTGAACTCATGGAGATCCACCTATCTCTCTTCCTAAGCACTGTAAAGACATGTGCCACCACAGCCTTGTACTGTGTCACTTTGTGGTTTGTTGCCTGCCACTTTTCTTACAGAAAGTCCAGCGTTTTAGATACATTGACTATTTTGCAGGAATACTATCATCATCAAAGGAAGGGAAAGATGTGGTTATAATCTCAAAGGAAAAGTTTGTGTGATGATTTTTAAAGAATAACTACATACATTGGAACATAGAGCTGTCAGCAGGAAGGATCTCTATCAAATTCCTCTCCTCAGGGATCAGGAAACCCTACAGAAGAGGAGGTAGAAAGAGTGTAAGAGCCAGAGGAGTTGGAAGACATCAAGGAGTCAAGGCCTTCTAAATCAATGTGATCAAAGCACATTTGAACTCACAGACTGAGGCAGCTTGCACAGGGCCTGCATGGGTCTGCATCAGGTCCTCTGTGTGTATATTATCCAGTTTAGTGTGTTTATGGGATTCCTGAGTGTGCGAATGAGTGGATCTCTGATTCTTGTGCCTTCTCTTGGGCTCTTTTCCTTCTGTTTGCCTAATTCCAATGTGTTGTTTTTGCTTTACCTTATTTTATTATTTAAAAAATAGTAGAAGTAATATTTAAATATATAATAAAATATAAAAAGTAAAAAAGAATAACTATATACTTTTCTTTAAAAACAGGTACATGAAATCCCGTTTAACATATTGTCAAATTAATGATGTTATTAAAGAAATTAATAAGGCAGTGGTTAGTAAATACAAGATTATACATCAACCAAAAGCATCTATGAGTTCTGTGAAGAGAAATCTCTACCAAAGATTTATTAATGAAGAAACGAAGGACACGAAAGGTAAAGTGATGGTATCTATGAGTACATGTCAGCTGTTTGGAGGAGGACAAACCTGGAATTCTAGGAAATGCTGCATCCAGAGAGCTAGTTATCTCCAGCTGTTCTAACACTTCACTGTGTGCTGGACAGCACTTAGCTTTTTTTTTTTTAAACCTTGTCACATTTTGCAGACTGGATGGAGTTCTCAGTCATCCAAGGTCTCTTAATTGGGTGACAGAGTTGCAGTGGGCTCCTTCCTGTTACTGTCGTCACAGAATGCCTCTGGAGAAGTGAGCTGTTGAGGCATACCAACACTGCTCACTGACAACAGAGATGCGGCAGTGAAGTCATGCAGCCTCAGTCGATGGGACAGTGTTTTAGAAGGAATACCATTTCCCACTGTGTTTTGTATTTGGATAGGGTTAGTAAGAAGGACCCAGCCATTCACAAGGTGATGCCATAAAAACTTCTGTGAGAACTAGAGTCATGGAAGTTAGAACCTGGTGTTTCTCTTTTCAGGTCGTTATTTCTTTGTGGAAGCTGACTTAAAGGACTTTACGAACTTGAAGGCTGACAAGAGATTATATGTGATCTTGAACATCTTGCGGCATTGCCAGAGACTGTCAGAGGTTCGAGGGGGAGGACTGACTCGTTATGTCCTCATCTGAGACTTTCGAAGGCTTGGGATTGACTGGCAGTTGGGTATAGCGGATAGTCTTGACATTTCATATGTTATTAGCTGCTACATTTCCTGATCTTGTTTTTTACAGAAATAAAACTCTGTTTGAGTAAAGCATATGTATTTTCAAAATGTACCGCCTTTAGGAATGGGAATGAAGCTGGGGCTCACAGTAAACACGTAAGCCAAAGTCAGAGTGATAAATCTGATATCATGTGTGGAACTTAGACTGAAATTAAAAATGTGTATAAGTGCAGATGATGAGACCAGAAAGTAAGAGTCAGGGAGAAATAGAAGATAATAGGATGATGTGAGGACTATCTGGGAGCCAGCCAAGGGGAGCGGGGTAGAAGCACAGGAATAAAGTGTAATGGCACAAACGTAAGAAAATGTAGTGATGGGACTCATTTCTTTGTATGCTAACTTAAAAGGTAGTTTTAAAATATTGCTACCTTTTAGTAGATATTCAACACTACCAAGTCCAGCCTGTGTATGAGATGTTAAGTGGACAGTGCTACAGATACCATGGGCATAGACTTGATGCTGGGAAAGATGAGCATACCCAAGCCCTCGGGGTTGTAAAGTCTGGTTACTGATTTTCTGTGTGCCCTTAGGAAACAGCTTGCATAAAATGCATTCTGTATATATACGCCAGCCTGTCTGCTTCAACCTGTAATGAAGTATATTGAGATGCTGTGATACTGTCATACAATAAATATGTATTTCATCTTCATTTCCAGTCCTTTGTTCAGAGTTTCTAAAAGCCTTGTGGTGTCTGAAGTGATAGGGTGCATCTTGTGTTGAGCCCAGTTCCTGACTGTAGTTCTCACGTGCCTTTGAATTTCCTCTTCATCAGCACATCCTTTGTTCTAATTACAAGGGTGATCCTTGAATGGCTTCAAGGTGGCAGCTGGTTACTGGAAAGACAAAGCCGTGACTAGGAAGCTGCAGTTTCAAATGGATCTCCACTCCCAGGGAGGGGATTGGGGTTGGAGATTAATTATTGATCACGCCAACAGGCTGCCTCTGTGTTACATCCTTTACCTGTAAAGTTTGGAGAGCTTCCTGGTTGGAAGGCATTAATAGAGGAAAGTGATGCACCCCAACGCTATGTGGACAGAAGTTCCTGGGCCTGAGACCTTTGAGGCAACCTCTTCATCCAGCTGCTTAATTGATATGCACTCTTAAAGCCAAATCCAGGGCTTTTCTGTATTTTTAAGTTGCCCTAGCAAAATTACAACACTCCTAGCAATGGGGCTTATATTAGCCAGGTTCTCTAAAAAGAATGGATCCAGTGGGATGGAAAATACATATATGAACTTATTAAGTTAGTTTTAGAATAGTAAGAACAGCAAAATCACACTGGAGAAGCTGTGAACCCAGTAGTTATTTAGTTCTTGAGACTAGATGCCTCAATAATCATAGCGGTCCTGCAATAACTCTAGCTGGAGGGGCAAAAATACTTAGTTCACAAAGTAGGGGCCTTAGTTGTCCTATCTGCCGAGAAGTACTGGTCCTTAGTCCATGATGATAGCTTGGAAATGCTGATGATGAATCGGCAGCAGCAACAGGGCAAATCAGCTTGGTGGCAAGAGGGAAGGGCAGCTGAGCAGGAGGCATGACGGTCTTCCTGCTGACATCCCCTTCCTGCGGGTCTGCCAGTAGAAGGTGCAGCTTACAGTCAGGGTGAGCCTTCCCACATCAGTCAAGGTGATCTGGACAGTCCTAAAGGTGATTCTGATCTGTGGCAAATTGCTATTAAAGCCAACCAGGATAGGTTATAGGAACTTTGATTTGTAGCCAAGTAGTATGCAAGTGTGGGTAGTCTGAGGACCCAACAGTTGTGATGCAGTCTGAAGTGGGGGTATTCTTGTGGGACTTTGCCCTTAACCAGGGACTACACTAACTCTAGGTAGTGTTAGCATTGGATTGTGGGATACCTCGCTCTTATCCAGATTCTTGGAGAGTTGATATCTATGGGGGGAAAGCCCTGTATATTTGGGATCAGTATGTATAATAGAAGAAACAGCTTTTCCTAGTGAGATGAAAATGATAACCTGTGAACAAGTTTAAAAGGGTCATGAGAAAATGGTAATTGGATTCTAAGAACTCTTCTGCACCTGGGGAGGCTGTCTGGTTTATTAATAGCTGTGCCATCTGCTTGCCAGGCTCGTTCCCGCAGTAGGGAAAAAATGTGTATCATTACTGTGATGGCCACAGAGTGAATTACAGGCCCTACATATTCATTATTAGCCATCTTCTTTAATTCAAATGCAGGCATGTTTTATTTTTCATTTCTGTGGTCAAACCCAGGGCCTCACACACTCTGCCAACTGCAAGAAACCCTTGGGCCATTTATTTTTATATTTATTTTACCAATTATTTCATTTAGATATGCAATTGGTAAAAATAGAGATGGAGGGATGTCCTTCTGTACATGTTTCTCTTATTAGTTGATAATAAGACACTGGCTAATGAGGCAGAAAGATAGGCGGGACAAGGAGACAAGGAGAATTCTGGGAAAGGTAGATTGGGGAAGACCGTGAAACAGTCGCCATGTAAGGACCAGGAAGAAAGGACAAGGACATACCAAGCTTTCTCCAGTAAGATAAGACCATGTTGAAATACATAGATTAATAGAAGTGGGTTAATAATTGAGACAGAGCTAGCCAATAAGAAGCCCCAGTCATTGGCCAACAGTTTGATAATTAATATAGTGTCTCTGTTTATTTGGGGCTTAGAAGGGCAGCAGGGCCAGGCTGAGACAAGAGAAGCTCCAGCAACAAAAGAGACCAATGAGGGGATTCATTTTAAAACCACTAATCTGTTACTTGACTGTCGTGGGATATTTTGATTGTACTCTTAGTTACAATCCTGAGACTGTCATTAAAGCTAAACTTTGAATCGGGGTAGAGCCAGCAACTAACTGACTGGCATTGTCCATAGAGAAGCCAGCAATTTGGATAGAGAAGACACACAGGCAGGAGAGGCAGGGAGTTGAGTTTGGTACTTTTTGGTTCTGGGACTAGGGGAGAAACTTTTCTCATGCGGTGTCTCCTGCCAAAAAGCAAGGTCAGCCAGTTGCTTTTCACCCTCTTTGAGTTAGCGGGTTTTCACCCCAAGTCTTAATTGGTAAATGGAATGATAGAGACTTAATTTAAACCTACATATTCTGGCTGCAGCAGAGCTGGGGCCCTGGGCTACAGATGATTAATATCAGTAGATTCATGTGCAGCTGCTAAGACAACAGAAAAACATCACTTGACCTTTATTTTCAAGCGAAACAACAGACTACTTACTCATTTTTTGTAAATGGCATCTTTAATTTTAAGAGAAAGCTTGATCCTGATTCTGTCCTCAGGTCCATCTCTTGCCCTTTTTGCTGTCTGTCCACTCTCGGCATTCTGTAATCCTCTCCTGAGGATACTTGTACAGTCTCTTCATTGCTATAGGGCGCCAACAACAGACCATTCCATCCAAGTCCAGCTTGGTGAATCAGTGGATTTATTGGGCTTTGTTTTGAGAGTGTGGGTGACTGCAGAAGAGCTGCATCACTCACAGTGTCCAGCATAGCATGAGGGCCAACCTCCTCGATGCAGTCCCTTCTTCAGTGACCTTCCATCTCTTGTGTACCCTAGCCAGTACCATGTGCAACTGGGGCCAGTGCCAGGAGGGGTAAGTGGCTGTAATCTTAGGTGAGGGTCTGGTGGTCCTGTCCCCATGCCTATGAGGGAATGGCAACTGGCCTGATCTTCAAAGGAACTTGTGCAGTAATCACAGCTGTTCTGATTAAGATGAAAACAGCTGCATCACAGCTGGAAAACCTAGTTCTACAGCACATAGGAACACATGCTTATTCGGCAGCACCGTGCAGAGACTGGAGCCTGGTTTACTCAGGTTAACCCCACTGTTGGCAAGACCGGTGGTGGGCACCCGGAACTTCCCAGTTATGAGATTCGAATATTTATGTGATGTTAACCTGAAAGGCAAGTGGGGAGGCACACAAAATTTGGGTAGAGAGACTGACAGGATGGCTCAGTGGGTAAAGGTGCTTGCTGTGAAGCCTGAACTCTGACCTCTATCTGGAGCATTCATGAAGTGGAAGGAGAGAACTGACTCTCACAAGCTGACCTCTGGCTCTACATACATGCTCAACCACACACACACACACACACACACACACACACACACACGCACGCACGCACGCACGCACGCACGCACGCAAGCGTGTGTGTTTTTTTAAAATTCTCTTAAACTGATGTGAGCCAACATGAGGATGACCTCCAGGGGAGACATGTATTCTATCTACCCAAAACAAGTGCTGTGAGATGGTGTCCAAGACAGCCTATTCTTGTTGATTAAAAAACAAGCAAACAAAACCAGGGAGGGAGTTGCAGTAAAGTGGTTATTACAACGCCATTAGTGCACATGGTGACACAGGTCATTGATTGGTCACTGCTCTTGTGATACTCAGGTAAGGACTTTCCCCAGGAGTTGGAATCAGCATACTGCTGTACTAGAGCAGGGCAATGTGAGTAGCTGCTATCATGCTTGTACTGTCTAGTTTTATGTGTCAGCCTGACACAAGCTAGAGTCAGCAGAGAGGAAGGAGCCTCAGCTGAGGAAATGCCTCCAAGAGATCCAGCTGTATGGCATTTTCTCAGTTAGTGATCAATGTGGAAGGGCCCAACCCATGGTGGGTGGTGCCATCCCTGGTCTGATGGTCCTGAAGGCGAGCTAAGCTAGCCTTGGGAAGCAAGCCAGTAAGCCGCTCCCCTCCATGGTCTCATAAGCTCCTGCCTCTGAGATCCAGCCATGTTTGAGTTCCCGTCCTTGCTTCCTTCAGTGATGAACAGAACTACTGAAGTATAAGCCACATAAACCCTTTGCTCTCCAACTTGCTTTTTGGTCATGGTACCTGTGACAAGGCTCATCAGGGCTCAACATGAGCAAGCAGCCCAGATTCCTAGACACAGATGAGACCAAAGGAGTCTGAGGGGACACCTATCTACTCAGGAACTGTAAAGGGGGTCCTTTACTCCTGGAAAGGTACCCGTCCAGCTGTCTTCTCTCTTGAGTGAGTGTCCCATCTTGGCATTGCCAGTTCCCAGGCCTCATGCATCTGGACTTGGCTCATTTCCAAACTTAATATAAGTAGCCAGTTACAAGCATATGGGCTTTGTCTTTTGAGCAGGTGGGAGGGTTTGGCCATCAGCTCTACCTTTCCCAGTGAGAGAGCAGATGGAAGCTGCAGATAAACTCCTGTGTCTACTTGAGAGTCTATGTTCTAAGCTCTCTGGGAGCATGCTCGGTGGCCGAGGGCCTGCTAACTCTTTGTTTTGTGGAGTCTCAGCCAGCTTAGGTGTCTGTCACTTTGTGTTTTTCTCCCATTTTCTCTGCTTATTTCTCTTTGCTTTCCCAGAGAAAGTGTCTGCCTTACTTCTGCATACCATGTACCGAGATAGGGCTTTAGACCCTGGCCATGTATTTCTCATGAGCGTTAGTGACTCTCAAGTAGGTTTCTACTTAATTCCTTTAACTATCTCCCTCCTACAAAATATAAACATGGTTTTGTGCTTTTTGTTTACACCCTCTTTAACAGTGCTTCACAGCAGAGGGCGCTGGATAATATTTATTGAATGTACAGAAACTAAGCCAGTTTAATAGACATCGAGGCAAATGATGTCACCTTTTGTGCCTCTGTTTCCTCTTCTATATGTTGAAATAGTTGGA